CCTCCTTATGTTCAGCTGCCCTGAAGCAAAGGAGAGCACAGGACTCTGTGTGGATAGGCATATCCTTTCATACAGTAAATTTCCACAGCTTTTCTGGAGGCTATAAACATGGCTATGTTTCCAGTTTGGAAGATAAATAATGGCAAGGGAAGCAAAACCTTAATTTGAAGGATCTGGAAGACGAGGTAGATAAAGCGTGGGAGGAAAGACGTTCGTTTATAGGAACGTATAGGAACAAACACTAGTTAACTTCCCACATTCAGCATATCTGTCCAAGCCCAGCCTTAACCTAAGTCTCTTGCAGTCTAACCCATAGCGTTAACCATCTGCCTAGTTTTCTTTTCTGCACTTGGCCTTGCAGTCACTGTATCTCTAATAGGCCAAGCCACTTCAGAGCTTTTTTTATCCCTAGAAACCCTGTAATAACAGTCTTGTGTTTTTTTTTGTTGCAGGGTCATTACCACAAAAACACATTGTTAGGAGAATACAGAATTAAACTACTACAGTTATTTTTCATGTTCATTGCTGCCTATATGATTATTAGCACGAAGAGAAACACAAAGCACAGAGAAAGCTCAGTTACTCCTGGAAACTTTAGTGAGGGAACTCCTGTAGGACACTGTAAGGCAGAATGAAACCTTCATTCCTTGTCTCTGCAGGAGAAGGTGGATGCTCCTTGTTGGAGTTTTCCCCTCCGTACAGAGTTGTTTTCTGTGGGAAAGAAATAAAAATCACAGTAGCAATCCCTTGACTCCTATGCTTCCCCCCCATCAGGAACTGTACATGACTAACTGAACCATTTCATAACTCGTTCCTCTGCACACCAGGAGTCAGAGACTCTTCTTCAACAGCTACAGACAGCAGTGGCACAAATCATCCTTCAATGAGTTACCAGTTGTGCAGACAACTGGCACATCTCTGCTGAGGAGCCAAAACATCTGACAGGAGGCAGCATCCAGAGCAAGTGTAGTCATTTCAGAAGTGAACCTGCAACCCCATACTGATGGGAGACATAGACTTTATACTGATACCTCACGGTAAAGTTTCACTCCTTCTTGGACAAGTAATCCCATCAAAATTTTCTCCTTCTCTTCAACAAGTTGATGGATATTCACCCAGAATCATATCCAAGAACATAAGAACTGCTACTAGCAGTCACACCAAAGGTACAGCTGGCCTGCATCTTATCTGCAACAGTGGCCAGTAGTGTATGGAACAGGTCAAGTGTGCAACACAACTTCTTCAGGGTGTTGAGAAGTCTTGAAGCAACTCACTGACTCCCTCAAGCAAAGATAATGTGTTTGCACTGAATAGCACAACAGGTCTTCTTCAATTTGTACGTATTTCAACACAGAAACTTTTAACCTCCAGAGCATAATGTAAAGAGGAGTTTGAATACATATTGTGCAAAGAGCAACTTCACTTTGCTCATTTTAAACTCAACATCAGCTATTTGCATGCTTTCACTTAGCTCTTACAATGGAAGAAACAGTGAAAAAGTTACCCACTGATAACTCCATGCCACAAATATTAGAGATTTCTGTCATACCCCCTCCAAAATCCTCCATTTGCCATTCTGCCGGGCCTCTTCCTGCCCGCAGAACCTTCTCATTATCCTTGGCTCTAACAATTCAAGAAGGTGGCTCAGCATCCCTGAGGTAATGCTCACTGCCTTGCCAGAATAGGGTGTAAATTTTAAAAAGCTTCAAAGGCAAAGTCTATATGGGTGCATCGAAAGGGCATGCTACCTTGTGATGTGGATGGTTGTGCCCCAGGAATGCAGCCATCGTAGTGTACAGAACCTCCCTTGTCAAACATGATTTCTCAGACTTTGATCAACAGCCACTGAAACCTTATCTTGCTTGAATCATCCTCAAAAATGCTCTTCAGCTATTCTTTCTGCCCTCACTCAACTCCCACACCTACTCCTCTTGGAAAAATAGAGGTCTGTAGACTTGTGCTATAATCCTTACAGGAAGGGTCCCATTTGTTTTGGCAAAGTTCAAATAACCTACGGAACAGAGCCAAGCAATGCTTCAGAGCAACTGTGTTATAGCTTTGGATATTAACCCATGTATATCAGCAGTTTGGTAACACAGATACATTTAAAGAAGTCAGCACACAATACATAGGTGCTAATTTATGAGAAGAAATATAGTATGGTCTTATGCCACAGGGGTAAACACTTGACAGCAGCAAGAGTTGAAAGACGACAGTCAACAACTGAAATATAAGATCCAATCCAAAGCAGTGGCAACTGAATCAAATCTAAACAAGTAAACCCACCTATGAGCAGTCTGCATGAGCTCCTGAAGATGTGCTGTGTTACTGCCCATGCTTATCTATATGTACATCCTTGGTCTGCACGTAACAAGCATCCCTCATTAGACTGACATATTTAGAGATGGCAGCACATACCTAGGTTGTCACTTGAGCCATCACAGTGATTTTTCTCATCTTCAAAAATCACACAATTCCTTGTGTCAACAGCTGCATTATCTTTTGATTCATCACTAATGATGTGCTTGGCATGTTGTGCCTATCTACAAGCATCATTCTAGCTTTAACACAGACATAATGACCTAGAGAACAAGGCCAGTGCCTCCACTGTCCTCTTGGAAAGGAACAGGACTTGTCCTCTAACAAATGTCTCAGACCTCACACAAATCATCCCTTTATTACAGCATTTTCCAGCTGTGCTCATGCCAAGCACCTACCATGTCATGCTTTTCCCAAGTATTGTGTGTGGGCAATTAATTTCACCATCTCATGTTTTTTTCCTCAACAGCAAGATAACCTTCCATCAGTACTTACCATGTTAGCCTTGTCCTTACAAAGGACTCCACACCACACACAGAGAAGGTATCAGAAAGACTGGGGCTATTTGAAGCCCTGTGTCCCATAACCATAAAACTGCAGGAAACGAAGCTGTCATAGCAAGAGGGAAAATAAGAATTCATATAGATGCAGCCGTTACAATGCAGAAGGCATACAAATGGAAACTGCACAACTCCTTTAAGGTGCATCACATCCTGTGTCTGAAGTTCCTCCTATCCTATCTCCTCCTCTTTTCTCCTTTTTCATAGTTTCTCTTCCTTTCCCCACCCCCCTTTTCCTCAGAGGTACAGACTGTAACTAGCATTACAAGCACTTGCACCCACTTCACTGAATTTCAGTCCACACAACAGCTATTCCATCACGCACACACACCTCCTGTATCACCAAGCTGACATACACACAGTCCTTCACTGTGGTACATGGACACATACCCCTTCCACTGCTGAAGGCAGCCCTTGAACATGACCTTCTGAGTTGAGGAAAAATTATACATGCAATCACACATGCATATATTCCCCAGCTCCTGTTTTAATCAAGCCAGTTCTGCACAGC